TGGCATCTCCTGACACCCTCAAGGTGAATTTTGAAGATTCATCCTGTTGGCCAGGTGGGGTTAGGTGAATAACCACACTTGGGTCTTGTATGCGTGTTTCTGAAACACAACATACATCAATGGCTCGAGATGCCAGGGTCTTAGCTAGTGATGCTTGTTGTCCTATTTGGCAAAGTGTCCTTACATTAAATGCTCCTATATGAAATTGGTGGCGTGGCTTTAGGAGACTATCCGTGGTGGTTTTTTGGCTTTCGTCGTTTTTAGTGGACACAGAGTGAAGAGGGAGTGAGGAGCCATCAAGTAGAGGAGTTGCATCACTGGGGGAAGGTAAGGTAATAGAGATGAAGATGAAGACAAAGATAAGTGAGGATTAGAGAGGTTTTGTGTGCGTTTTGGATTGTGAGGGCGATTGTTACTTCCCGGCTGCCCACACCGTGGAAGTTGGTTGCGTGACCGCAGAGCCCAGGGGACAACTGCTTGTGGCCGGTCACACGCGGCCTGTTTTTGTTCGTTCTTCGTTGTTTTGTGTGCCTCAGTAGCATACTTATCACTCCCGCCCTGTGACACGGCAGCAGGAAGCGCGGTCGTTGTTAATCCGGGCCACGGCCGATCCGGCATGAAATTTTGTGAATTTGTTTGGATCATGGTATTGGATGAGGTAGCTGCTTTTTGTTTAACCGCTATCCAAACAACCTGCCTGGCATGGTAGAACCTCAAGAGACATAAGTCTCAGCCAGTATAGCTTGATTAGGTCATTGCGGTGTTCAAGCCCGACCACCACGTCAAGGTAGCAGCTTTCGGTCGGTCTATCTCTACCTGGTCTAAAGCCTGCTTGATTTTCCCTTGTCTGTTCCTCCCGAGTTCTGCTTAGTCTATGCATGATTACTGAGCCTAGGATTTTAGAGACTATGTTCGTTAGGCTGATCCCCCTATGATTATCACACGAGGACTTGTTTCCCTTCTTGAATATCGGCATAATAAGTGACTTACCCCAGTCTGATGGTACTGTCTCTGATTCCCAGACTTTGCCTAGTACCTCAGTTAATCTACAAACTAGTATGTCACCCCATATTTAAACACCTCCGGAATAATTCCGTCGGGTCCTGCCGCTTTGCCTCGTTTCAAATTACTGACAGCTTTTGTGACCTCACTTACAGACAGCGGACCAGTGTCTATATCCCATTCGTGTGTGTCCTGGATTGTGGGGAGGTTCAGTGTGGCTGTAGGCAAGTTAAATTGTTCCTCAAAGTGTTCTTTCCAGCGTTCAAGGCGTCTATTCTCAGAGCTAATTATGGTGCCACTTTTCTCCGAGATTGTTTCACTTATTACTTGCCTTCTCCCACTCGTTCCCCTGATGAGTCGAAAGAGTTACCTAGTGTTGCCTACGAACTCAGGACCTTCTGATTGTAAGGTTAGCGAGCTCGAAGACCATTAAACCACTGGGACCAAATCCAATGGACCAGACAGCCCATGAATTCTAGCTAGTGCGATCGCTACACAATGTCTTCGGTGAGTATTTGTCTTCACACCCAACCTCCTGCACCTTACTGGTGGTCACTACTTCCCACTAGAAACCCCTACCTACCAGAATAGAGCAAGTCGGTAGTGAGCATTTCATCGATATTCAAGTATTGGTTGCTTATAATCATATCAAGTTGGAACTTGATATGATTATTAAAAATAGTTTGTGTTTGAAACGTCATCAGTTAACATTACTGTGCAACATTCTGTGATTTATCAAAATAAAATCTTATCCATAATGGAGGACACTGGCTAGCGGTCGAGCTATGTCATGAATTGGCAGGAGTTAGAATTTATGGACTGACTGGTCATTGGATTGGGTCCCAGTGGTTTAATGATCTACGAGCTCGCTAGCCTTGTTACCAGAAGGTTCTGAGTACTGAGTACGTAGGAAGGTGTAGACTTCCAGGCTGGGGTCCTTGGGACGGTAAAAATCTATGGCTGGAAACAATTGGTGACATGGCTCAAAATAGTTCTCAGTAGCGCAGATGCATCCACTCCTTGTGACTTATGATTTCCAATGGAACTCTATCGTTCATCGTTATACTCTGCCTTTGTCTCACAACTTTGCTCACTGTCTCTATTATGCTTTTCTTGTACTTTCTTCTCTTGCTTCGCGTGCTACACGGAGTGTGGCGACTTGAACTTCCGCACATTTGTGCAAAGTTGTATGTCGAAAACAGACAGACAGACAGCACACAAAGCAAAAACACAGAGTAAAAACAAATGCAAAACAGAGAAAGTAAACAGAGATATGAGGGAAAAAGAATAGTAATATGGAGGAACAACATAATTTTATCGGATATTATAAGTCACAAAGAGTGGATGCATCTGCGCTAGCCATTGACAGCGAAGATTTTGAGCCATATCACCAATTGTCTCCAGACGCCACTGGTGTTTACCGTCCCCAGTACCCCAACCAGTCATGAAGTCTACATCTGCCTACGTGACTGGCTGGCTGGCTTAAACTAACTGTTATGGATTTCATTGACTGATGAAGTCATGTTTGAACAGTTTGAACACCACTGGCTCTTTCACATAACCTGACTCTCTATGTCAACTAATATTGCCCGTCGGTCGAGAAAAGGTCATAACTAGTCATGCGTAACACATGTGCTAACCATTTCAATCAGTATGACTTCACAACCTCGTCTATTGATTTCCCCTGCCACCTACCTAGCACTCGACAGAAGCCTAACCTCAATATTGCTCACCCTATTATACCGTTTAACACACACGGGAGATAGAACACAGGCACCTACAATCAAAGACTATTATTTTGGTTAACCTTCTTTTTTCTCTTCTTTATATTATGTCTGATAAATCTTTCTGGGTAACTGTTTCCGAGTAACATTTCGAATAAAACGTTTATTTCTTCACGTTGGTCATCTGGTGTTATTATATGTCTACATATTCTGTCTGCAAGACCTTGTGTATTAATCCTCGTTTTACCGTCAGTGGATGAGCTGAGTGAGTAATCAAGGAATCTCTCAGAATGCGTAGTTTTCCAATAATAAATATGTTTATCATCGTTTTTATGCTGCCATCTGCTATTCTCTGTACTTTACAGCCCTGGGGTGGGGGTGGGGGGGGAGGTGAACTCAACCCAACTGTCAACAACCTGGAATACGATTCTCGATACACAAAAATGAACGAATAGAAAAAATGGACTATAAATGATTAAAAATTATAAATGTGTGAATTAAACACAAACAATTTCGACAATTAGTTGATGTGATCACCAGCAGTAAATTTGTTTGAATTATTACCAAAATCAATGAAAAAACTTTTGAAATATATGATGGAGGATTTCATCATGAGCTGACATTGGTTAGATAACCATTAGAAAACCTGCCAAGGGTTCGAAACCAGGACCTTCTGGTTCCAAAACTAGTGAGCTCGTAGACCATTGGAGTCAGGGGAACCCGATCCAATGGCCAGTCTATGAATTATAACTTCCGTCAGTAACTTATCGAAGAAGACATTGCGAAATGATTGCGCTATGTCGTGAATTGGCAGAAGTTAGAATTGATGGGCTGACTGGTCATTGGATCGGGTCCCAGTGGTTTAATGGTTTTAACAGCTCTTTAGCCTTGTGACTAGAAGGTCGTGGGTTCGAACCCTGGCAGTGGGTGCGTGCTGATGAAGAGTCCCAAACTAGGATGACTAAATAGCTGTCCAGTACTCCCTGGTCGCTCTCAATGGTTCTCTAACCAATGCCAGCTCATGATGAAATCCTTCATCCAATCAAACTAAATCCCTACAAAACCAATATTGAAATATAATTATAAAAATATTGGTTTGCACGGATTTGATTCGGTTGGTAACCAGATTTCATCATGAGTTGACATCCACTGGGGAACCACCAAGGGGTATTAGAAAGAAGTTTTGTCCTAGTCTGGGACTCTCCAGCAATAAGCGACCACCAGGCTTCGAACCCAGGAAATTCAGCCACTACAACCCGATTAAAAGTATCCTGAACTCCAACCTCTACCATTTTTGTGATACATATAGCGTAACCATCAGAGAAATAGTCAAAGCGGTGTAATTGTAGTTAGTTAGCTGAGTACTGTTCATATTGAAAAACACATTAAAAACAAATCTGTTTATAGGCATCACTATCTTACATCAATTTGATCCCCCTTATGCTTACAACAAAAAGAATATTTAAGCAGATAGTCCTCTGGTATCAAAATCTTTAAATAGAAAAGCTAATCTAAAATCCTATTAGAGGTTGTGAATAGCGTTCAAATGTGGATATTATTGAGTAAAATATAAATGATATTACATTTCCAGTCTACGTTAAAACTAAGATAGTTCACTATCTACATCTTTCTCGTATATTGTTATTGAGTGTTTCATATTTTCATGTGATATCCCCTTACTATTTATGCCCTTTATCCTAATTTATAAGTTTTCGTTAGCCGCCTATTAGTCCGCGTCTATCCGCTGATCACATGTTTAACTTCAACACCGATGGGTACTACAAATGTGTGGGTGTGTGTGTTCTCGTTTGTCGATCAAAAAGTATCTCCATGTAGACGTTCAACTGAAAACTTATTTTTTTAGACGGGAGGTGTTAGGACTCACAAACTTTGTCTATTAGCAGTGAAGCCATGATAACCTAACTGGCCAGCATTTTGTTGATTGGCTCATTTTTGGCTTCAATTCCTGAGAATTTGCGATGTCATACAAACTCCACCGCCAATCAGACTCGTCTATTTATAGCTTACATTCCTGAGGTTTTGTACATTTTGTCTAATAAACAGTTATCATCACAGTTGAATCTAACTTTTATCTCGATTTCAGTGTATGAGGGACATTTTGAAATGGTCATTTGGTTATAGTAGTGTCGTGTGTCTGGAAGAGCGCATTCTAGTCCAGCTAGACGAAACCTCGTTAACCCCCGTAACACACTTGATCATCACAAAAATAAGCAAACAGACAAATATTTACAATAAAGGGAAAATAAACCTTACCTCATGACGTTTACTCAACATCATTACACGTTTAGGAGGTGAAGAACAAAGTCCTGATACAGATGGCATTTGCTGATTAGGCAATAATTCATCTGGAGCATTTTTTAAAAGATTGCGTACTCGACGAACCAGATTTGATGACTAGGTGAATAGAATTGAAAATGCAAAGAAAAACAATACATGGGAGAATTATTGTCCACCGCTGAGAGAGAGAGAGTACAGATGCTATAAATACTTCATGTATTTGTATAAGACTCCTATTAAAATCGATTTTGTGTATTCCTATTGGATGTATACTATTTCAGTTAATTTCCACCAATGTAAGAGAACATTTGATATCACGTGTCTTGTTATTCATTGAGTACCAACTGAATCCTTATAAATGTCAAACTGTTAATTTCAGCTTAAGATGTAAAAGGCAGTTAAAAGAAGTCATCGATTCTCATGACAGTTGTAAGATTGACGACAATGATATAGGAATTGAATCAGAAATTAAGTATCTTGGACTTATTCTCTCTTCTGATCTCTCCTGGCCTTCCCATGTCTTAGCGATCTTCAGTAAAGTATTCCGCCTGACAATTTACATTAAGAAGTTAAGGCACTCGGGTATAATTCAACCAACCCCTCCTCTTACAGTTCATAAACTCTTGCATCCTACCTATTCTTCTTTATTGTTCACCCTTGCTTATTCTTTCCTGGTTTGCTTAAAAAGGACTATGTCACAATTCGTAGAATACTGAAGACTGTCAGTAGGGTGAGTGGTGTCGCAGTGGATCACATAGTTAATGTTGTTATCGATAGGCACTTGACTTCGTGCAATAAATTTGCTAGAGGGATTTTGTCTGACTTGGAGCATCCACTTTACCCTCAGCTTTCACCTTGCATCTCCTCAGGTAGAACAAGAAGTAACTTCAGAAAACTGTATGCTTGCACGTCTAAGTATAAAAATTCTATGACACCATACTTGGCACGTATTTTATGTGATAGTGAAAATAGTGTCAGGCAAGAATTAACTAACCTTTTTTCGTCTAGTAAATAAACAATTTCCTCCATCCATCCTTATATACCTTCAAGTTTTACTTTTATTATTTCTATTATATTTATGGTCCTGTTGCTTCTTTGTTTGTTTTACTCTCATAATTGTAAACACCAACTCATCTCTATGACTGCTGTAATCTTTGTTTTTCCCCTCACCATATCATGTAAAGAGAACATTATATTCAATATTTTTAAACTTGTTAGGATTTCTATACCGCATTGACAATACTGTGTGACACAAGCCAACGGCAATTTTCACTTGTATTATTATTATTACCTTAGCTGTTATCATTATCATTATTATTTGCATTTTATATGCTGCATGTTTTTGACACTACCTCTATCGTAAATGTGGAAAATTTTCTGTGTGATTAATTTTATTTATAATTTGAGGAAATTAGATGCAATGTGTTGTGATTAATGCTGAAAATTCCATTCTGTATCACAAGTACTGTTTTTGGAATAAAGTAAATCATTATTATTATTATTAATTCATAATCCCCAGTGTTCAATTGATGGCCTTCTAGTTAAATATTGCTGTAAATATTGGTAAACGTAGTGTTGTAGATTCATTGGAAGTTGTATAGAGATAGCCGGAGAGTGTAGGAGTCAATACCGAGTAAAAACCGAAAACCTGCAATCAATTGATGAAGGAGGGAAGTATAGGCGGTTTGTTTGAAGTCTTCAAGATGCTAAGACGGAATGGTGTTAAAGACCATTGATGATATTGTGGTGACAGGTGTCTGCTAGTCAAAATTGTAAACAACAATTTACGTGTATGTTTACGTCCAGAATTGGGGTCATGAGAAAAAAAGAATAACAAAGCTTAACCTTGTGGAACTCAACAACTAATCACAGCAGACTTAGCGTGGGTGGATACGATTCGCAGATATATATAAATCTGTAAGCATCGGCCACAAAGAGATGACAGGATAACCTTCATCAACAAAAAAAACAACCAATCAGAAGACTGTGTTTCTCTGTTAACAATAACCAATAATAATGTACATGAAATTTCATAAATATCTGTTGATTTTCTCAATAAACGACCCGTCTGGCCTGGCCTGTCCCTTGTCTTCTGTCATTACAATATGAGTCAAAATCGTTCCCATTGATTGACGCATTGAGAAGTAATTTGGAAACTTCTTCAACACTACGACATGCAGTGCCCACGCGTCTTTATGAACCTCATCCAATAACTATTTTAACAGTGGGATGTGTTAAATGATCCACAACGGGAAACGCACTCAGTGAGGCGTTTGAAGTGAATACAGAAGTAAGGACAAGACTGACTGCCCGTTATCACCCACGATGATATTCTCAATTGTGGTGGACTGGATTATGCATCAGAAATACATTAGGCCAATAGGGAGACTCCATAAGATCTCTGGATTTAGCAGATGATATATGTCAACTGTCTGTCTGTTTTCGAAATAGAACTCTGCACAAATGTGCGGAAGTTCAAGTCGCCACACTCCGTGTAGCACGCGAAGCAAGAGAAGAAAGTACAAGAAAAGCATAATACAAACAGTGGGCAGATGTGTGAGACAAAGGAGTAATAAAGAAAAACAAAACAGTTTCATTAGAGATCATAAGTCACAAGGAGTGGATGCATCTGCGCCATTGGGAACGATTTTGAGCTTTATCACCAATTGTTTCCAACCATTGGTTTTACCGTCCCGAGGACCCCAACCAGGAAATCTACACCTTCCTACGTGGCTTAGACTAACTGTTGTGGATTTCATTGACTGGTGAAGTCATGTTTTGGTTTGACCGCCTCTAGCTCTTTTCCAACCTGTCTCTGTGTCAGTTAACATTGCCCGTCAAGGAAGGCAATGGCTAGGGATGTATGCGTAAAACATGTCCTAACCATCTCAATCAGTGTAATTTCACAGCCTCATCGATTGATTTCTCCTCCTTACCTAGCACTCGACGCCTAACTTCAATGTTGCTCACCTTATTATGCCACTTTACACGGGAAATAGAGCGCAGGCACCTATGATCAAAGGCAGCTAGTCTTTTCATGTCTTCCACTCTCAGTGGCCAGGTCTCGCTCACAGCCATAAAGGAGGATGGAGCGGACTGATGAGCAGTACACCCGCCCTTTGGTCGATAGTCGAACATCTCGTCTGCGCCAGAGTCGGCGTAAACTGGCAAATGCGAAACGAGCCCCCTGTATTCGTGCTGAGATTTCGTCAGAGATCAATATGTCAACATCCACATCAACTCAAAGACTTACAAGCAAAAAACCAACAAACTAACAGAAGAGGCTGGCAGTGAAGACCGAACTCCGAGATCGTACATAGAGAAGACGGAAGTGATGAAGATAACCAACCAACACAGCAACAGTGACAATAACCAGCACCATCAACGGGAGAGATTTAACAGAGGTTACCTACTCCCTTCATTTATCTGGGAAGCATCGTTTCAACTACAGACAGGTGGAACAGATGAAGGTGCTAAAGTCAGAATCGGAAAGGTTACATAAACCTTCATCAACCACCTTAAACCAGTTTGGAAATCTTCTGCGCTGTCACTACTCAGCCAGTATAAAAAATAAGATTCAAATTTTCAACACCAATGTCGACTCGATCCTTCTATACGGGTCAGAACTTTGGTCAGTGGTGTCACGAAAAAGAATTTCGAACAGGCTAGTGCAAACTTTTATCACCACCAGCTGGCCCCACTTCATTGGCTGGCTGCATACTGAAGATCAAATGGCCAGAAAGACTTGGTGTAACAAGAAACTCTGTCTGGAAACAAACCATCCAAGAGCCGATCGCTCAGCAAATATCTAGAAAATGCAGATGGATCGGGTATACATTGAAGAGACTGTCGAATGACATCGCGCGCCACACAGGCCAACGCACAAGTAAAATCCAAATGGGAAGCGACGAGTGGGTGATGAGAGATTATGGGCAATCATGGACGCAGCTGGAGAGGATGACAGACAATTGAACGGAACGGAAGTAATGAATGAACAATAAGACAGAATACGAAGACTAAACACGTAGAAATATATACATATATATATATATATATATTTCTTACCTCAGGTATATAAATCGGCTTTCTTTCAATATCATTTCCATAGATAATTCCATCGACACGTGTACCATATTCACTATAATTAATCAATTCATAATGTTTAGTCCAATCATCATAGAAGATTGTAGCATGATGTGGAGAGATAAAACGACATTCATTGTCAATTGGTAATGATACAGACGATAAATTATAATTGACTAGACATAGATGACAGTCTGGAGCTGTTAAAACAAATCAGAGAAAACAAAAAAATTAAAAATAATAGTCAGTTGAAGAAGTTTGCAATAAACACAACACTTCTTCACTGATATTCAATAAACAAACTCTTATGTACTCGTCGACAAATTATTGTTATGGACTGGTCGAGAATTTAATAGTCCTGACGCAAGAAGGCGGAAATCAGAAGACCACTAGGTTTGCGATGATACTTCTATTTTCCAAACACAAGGAGAAGCAATAAGTGGTATCACACCAAAGAAGTAGTCACACAAGATTGTGTGAGCGAAATATATATGAATGTCCAGACAAGTGTGTGAACAAATCAATAGACAGTCTTAACATGAATGGCTAATTATAATGGAGTGTCGATCCATATATACATAGCAAAATATAGCAGACATGTCAACAACCACACATATAATATGGATATATGTCACCAAGCAACGGACTGTCAACAAACACTCATATTATATATAATATAAGGGGAATATACATTGTTAAAGGAGACAGGTTCATCAAAGTGAAATGGTCACAGACTAAGAGAGCAACAGAAAGAGAGATCACCATATATATATATATATATATATATATATATATATATATATATATATATATATATATATATATGGATACATATCACAAAGAAACAAAATTGAAGAGAAGAAAGAATTAGCAAGCAGAAAGTGTAATCACAGCGACGAACTAACCAAGTACTTATTGCTCAGCAAATATACTCTGAAGCAAAAATGGAAATGAGTCGGACACACGTCAATGAGGAGGCTTTTGGGTGACATCGCGCGTCAGAGCATTATTATTATTATTATTCGCTTGAGTTCCCAGAGGAACATAGGGCTGGCTTCAACACCACACACCTCCACTTTCTTTTATTTTCTGCCATCTTCTCTTCAGCTTGGACCACGTCTGCCAACAATCTCTCATCTCCAACTTACACGATTTCTGGCTATTTGATCTTCTGTATGGAGAGAAGGCAGTTGTTGATGAAAATGTCTGCAACCTGTTGTAAATCCTTTTCGTAACACGCTGGCTGGCCAAGTTTCTTACGTGGTATGGAAGGACCAACTTGACATTTGTGTTAAAAATGCGAATCTTGTTCTCAATGGTGAGTTATAGGGCAGAAGATTTCCAAACTGGTTTCAAATTGATCCTGTCTGACTTTGACGTCTTCATCTGTTCCACCTGGAGTTGAAACGATGCTTCCCAGATAAGTGTAGGAAGTTGATAGTCGGTGTTGGCGGTGTTTGTTTTTGATGTTGGTTGGTTATCTTCACCATCTCCATTTTCTTATGTTCACCACCTGCAGCGCCCTGTCTTCACTGCTTCCTCCAGCCAAATTGTTGGTTTTTGATTGTAAGTCTTGAGTTTCTGTGGCATTTTACGTATATCACATCCGCGAAAACCAGATCTTCTAGAGTCTCGTCATCGGTGGTCAGGCGTACTCCTGTCTCCTTGCTCCTCCCATAGTTCGCCAGACCATTATTCAAGCGGAAATCGATGAGTTAGGCGTATCATCGACAGCAACGTGGAGGAGATCGTTTGGAGAGGAGATAACAGCTTATTGGTAATCGTGGAGTCAGTCGGAAAAGAGCTAATCGTGGTCAAACCCAAACACTGCTTCATTAGTCAATTAAATCCACAACAGTTAGTTTAAGCCAGTCAGTCACGTAGGGAGGTGTGGACTTCCTGACTAGTTGGGATCTTCAGGGATTGTAAGAACCGATGGCTGGAGACAATTAGTGATATGGCTCAAAATCACATTCATTAGATGGCGGAGATGCATTCACTTTTGTGACTTACACTGTCCAATAAAACTATGTGGTTCTCCAATGTTACTTTTCATTTTCCTTCACTCATATTTCTGTCTATTATCTATTTTCTCTGTTTTGAATCTCTCTTGACTATCTTCTATTGCCTTGTGTGCTACAAGGAGAGAGTGTTGCAACTCGAACTGGTGCACATGTGTGCGAATTTCTACGTCAGTCAACATTGAAAGTTGTACACATCTTGACTTAACTTGCTACGATGAGATCTTAAATTATGGAAACAACTCCAGGAACCACTTCTTCAATCAGGCCACGGTGTGATCGAGCTCAAACGATTATCCCTTCAACTCTATGGTGACGCAATACTAAAGCTTGTTTTATTTCAGGGAATCCAAGAAGATATTCGTATCCACACAGTGTGAGCAGCGGGGAAGCAACAACCACTCACCCCACACCTTCAATTTGCACAAATCAAACACCAGTTGAAAAAATGTCAAAAGTATTACGTCTATCACGCACGTTTGGATAACTTTCTCCAGGAGTCAAAATGACTTTTTTTTCCTTCACGTTCCCTAGTGGAACATAGGGCTTCAAGCTAGTGGTTTAAAGTTTCTGTAGCAATGTTTATTTTACAGGTTGGCGTTGCAAGCCTCATGCCCAACCTTTTCTTTTTACCAGCATTATTCTGGCTTAGCGAGGTAAATGAGTGCGTCGGTAGCCGGGGATCGAGCCCCGGACCATGTGCATGGTCGGCAAGCGTCCTAACCGCTATGCCACCGACGCAAAATGATTGTTATACATATATACATATTGATGATTTCATATAAAAGCACTCAACAACTCCTGAATAACTATAGAGGTAATTAACAGAAAATGTTAGACAAAAATCACACATTCTCACTTACATGTACCAATAGTTAACTGTCTATAGCGCATTTGAATTTCATTCCCGTTAGTTCCATAACATGGTGATAGGATGGCTCTAGCACGTATACAACTTTCTGAAATTTTCGAAGAAGTCCGCCTTTTTCTATTCATCATGATCATATTCATTTTTTGATTACTGTCAGCGTTGATATTGTCAAGATCTTTAGTGTCGGGTGTTGTTGAGGGCACATAGGAATTACATATCATTTTTAAACCATCAATTGCATCAGTACAGTTGATACCGAAGAGATCACGTATACGCTGGGCTGCTAATATGTACACTAGCTGAGGATCTAGACACGCCAACTTGGAAGGTAATGCATCTGGATAAAGGAGAATAATTATAATAATGGGGTCACCATAGGAGATTATAGAGTATGGAATGAAAAACATTTCAACCAATGATTTTAAAAGGCAATTATGTCAGATAATTGCTGGCCAACTTAGGAAAAAAATACAAGCATAAAACTGAAAGAAATTATAATTATGATTATTATTAAACAAAACAACAACAACAGTAACAAAATCCAGCGCCAATCACCATCAACGGGAGGGATTTGAAAGAGGTTACCTCGTTCATTCACTTATCATCTAGGGTGCATTGTCTCAACTACAGGAAGTCGGAACGGACGAGGATGTCAAATCGAACGAGAATCGGGTGGTGGGCGAGAAACACATTCATCAACCTGAAACCAATCTGGAAATCTTCGTCACTCAACTCAGCATCAACAACAAAATTCGGTCGGATTTTCAATACAAGCAACGTCAAGTCAGTCAGTTCTTGTATACGGATCAGAAACTTGGCTGGCAGGCCACAAAGAATATTTCCAGCAACCTGTTGCAGACATTACCTTTATCAACAACTGTATTCGCTCTATACTGAAGATCAATCAGATGGCCCGAAAGAATCACCAATAAGAAACTATGGGACCAAAGAAAACAAAACAAGAACCAATCGCCCAACAAATATGCAGGAGAAAGTGGAGATGGATTAGACACTCGCTGAGGAGGCCACTGGGTGAAGTCGCGCGTCAGTCCTCGAGTGGAACCCGAAAGAGAAGGGGAGAGTGGGACGTCAGTGCAAGGGTGACATGGAGGAGATCGTGTGAAGAGGAGTTGAAACAGTATGGACTAACATGGATGCAGGTGAAAAGTACAGCAGAAAGAAGACAGAAGCAAGTGGAGACGTGCAGTTGAAGCCCCATGTTCCACTAGGAACCCAAGGGAGCAATAATACTAATAATTAAACAAAACACTTAAAAAATAGATTCACGAATTAACAGTGTGTCGAATTAGGAGCATGATCTTTAAAGGTGCAAATGTTATTATTATTAGTATTATGTTTGGTTGTGAAGAGAATGCCGAGAAAATACATTGCACTGATCAAAGCACTTTACCAGAATTCATGCAGCCAGCCAGGTAGTAGCCCACGGAAAGTTGTCATCTGAATTGATGTCAACTAGTGGTGTCCGACAGGGATACCAACTCACTATCCCTATTTTTATATTCAATTTCATCATAGATGCACTGATGGACTTAACCCTAACTCACTTCAGCGACTCAGGGATTGACTTGTTACCACCATGGATAATCTAGTAAACTTACAATATGCAGATGATAAAGTCCTTCATCCAAGGTGAAAACGTTGAAAAAATGCACAGCCTTCCGAACATCTTGACAGGCAGCAGTCTTCGAATGTTTGGCATGCGATTTGCTTCTGTCAACTGTAAAGTGATTCTGCAGGACTGGACTACATCGACTCACTCCTGGCTTAAAGAAACACTGGGTGTGAAGTGGTAGGGCGTGTTGACCATTTCACTTATTCAGGAAGTTGCATCAGCCAGCGCCAACGGGTTGATTCCTGACGAAATCTCAGTAGGTCTACAGAAGTCTCGTTTGGCATATGCCAACTTATGCTATCTCTGGCGTAGACATGATACCGACTGGTTATTGACCAAAGGGCGTGGTGTGTACTGTTCACCAGTTCGCTCTGTCCTTATTTGTGGCAATAAGACATGGTGATGAGAAGTGTTAGAGATGAAAGGTCAGCTAGTTGTCTTTGATCATAGGTGTCTGCGTTCTGTCTTGGTGTGCTAGGCACACTCACTCTGCACTAAACAAAGGACTAGACACACGTCACTAGAGTTAATAATCAGTGTCCAATGAAACTTTCTATTACATCCTGTTCTCTGTGGTATTTTTACCTGGTTTCACGATTGCCGATAAGTTCCGATGTCTTCCTCACATCATCTCTTCCATGTCATCCTCAGGACCCACACGCCCAACCTGCAGGTTTCTGTTTGTGTTCCACTCGATGGCCTAAATGGCGTATCATTTCACTTAACAGGCTCCTCAGAGTATGACCAGTCCATCAATATTTTTTCTGCATATTTGTTGGGCGATAATAGTTTGTTGCCTGGTTGGTCGTCTGTCGCCTGAGTCCCTCGTTGGTTATCCCTTCTTACCAGCCATCTGATCTTGAATATGGAGCAAAGTAGGCAGCTGTTGACGAAGGCCTGCATTAGCCCATTGTAAATGCTATTTATGACGCATGAGCTAGTTGTCTGAGCCACATGGAATCCCTGACTCATTTGACATAAGTGCTAAAAATCTAAAAATCGTGTTCCTTATGTGGTGAGAGCTGTCTGCTAGCCAAAATTGGTAAACAGCAATTAACGTCAAAGTTAACGTCCCAAATCATGGTCATGAGAAAAAAACAAGAACAAAGACTAACTCAACAACCAATCACAGCAGACTTTGCGTGGGCGGACACGATTTGTGGATATATGATCTAACCTTCAAAGAAACAGCAACAAACAGATGACAGAATAACCCTGATCAAGAAAACAACCAATCAGAAGAAGCCGTTTCTCTGCTAATAATGACGAATACTAATGTACATAAAAATATATAAATATCTCTTGATTTTCTCAATAAACGATCTGTTGCCTGGCCCTTGTCTTCTGTTGTTACACTTTTGTTGAGTGTGATAGATTTCTACACTAATTTCAGAATAAAGAAGGTCTGTGTTGCCTTTGTGTTCCCACTGACTGGATTTGACGCCCCTTATCTGCATCCCCTGTAACTGAAACGTTGCTGTATTATCATTATTTTATTCCATTGCATTCCCAGTGGGGTATGGTGCTTCAAGCTTGAGTTTGGAAGTGTGGGTTGCTAGCCCCACACCATCCTGTACCACTCTCTCTTTCTCTCTACACCAGGTTACTACTACTGGCTAAATGCACCGGACAGGGCTCGAACCCCAGACCACGTGAGGCGTGGTTGCCGAATATTTTACATTACTGAACCCACTGACGCATAATATAGTAACAACAACAACTATTCTACTAAGACATAAAGGTATAAAATCTAGGTCTGCCTACAAGGAGGAAAAAGTTTTACTGAATTCGATAAAAAAAGCTTACTCTATTAGTTTGATAACTATCCCCCCATAGAAGTTTTTCTATACGACATGTACTTACCATCAGACGATCTGATATCCACATTGCCACCACCATCACCACTGGCCATACTGTTTGACTTCATTACAGTTGTTTCCCACTGTTCATTAGCAGCAGTATTGTACAAACTATTCATGTTGCCTCGACTAGAATTATAATGCCTTGATTTTCGAATGTCCCACCATCATTATCATCAACACATGATCTCGACGATGAGGCTTGTAGGGATAACTTTGGAGGTTGTAATGATGATGATGATGTGGAGGAGGAGGAGGAGGAAGAAGACGATGGCATTACTAAGCTTTCGCTTGTTTCCATTGCATCGATCGATGACTTATCATCAACCAGTAGTTGGATTGGATCACTGACAATATTGTCATCATTATTATTAGCTGAGGTTATTGTTGTTGTTGATGATGATGATGTCGGTTGAGGTGTTATCGTTGAAGTGGTGTCAGTATGGTGATAGCCGCAGTTGTTGTTGGTGGCGTTGTCAGCGCTGAATATTTATTATCAGGTAGTACATTCAATTCATTTTGTAGATAGAATTGTAACAGACCACGGACAAACTTGATAGGAGATAAACAAAATTGATAGAAGTGGTAATATTAGAAAAGGTAAAGCAAATAGCAGTAAAATGAAATCAACAGAATAACTGCTAATCAAATAATGCTGACTGACAGACAATTTTCAACGTAGAACTTTGCATCGACGTGCAGCAGTTCGAGTTTCACACTCCATGTAGCACACAAGCAAGAGGAGAAAGTAAAAAAATGCGAAATAGAGACAGTAAACAGAGACATGAGGTAAAAGGAATAGTGATATCGAAGAACAATATAGTTTTATTGGGTCACAAGGAGTGGATGCATCTGCACCAGTCATTGAGACCGAGGATTTTCAGTCATATCACCAATTGTTTCCAGCCTTCATTGGTTTTTACTGTCCCTAGGACCCCAACCAGTCATGAAGTCTACACCTGCCTACGTGACTGGCTGGCTGGCTTAAACTAACAGTTGTGGATTTCATTGACAGAGGAAGCAGTGTTTTGGTTTGACCATCATTACCTAGTTTTTTACCAACCTGATCAATCCTATGTGAGTCGGCTAACAGTCTGTCAGTCGAGGAAGGGGATGGCTAGGCTAGACATGCGTAAAACACATGTCCTAAGCGTCTCAATCCGTGTAACTTCACAACCTTTATTGATTTCCTCTTCTTACCCACCTAGCACCTCAATATTGCTCACGTTATTATACCACTTAGCATAACACGGGAGATAGAACGCAGGCACGTATGATCAAAGGCAGCTAATTGGTCTATTCATGTCTTCCACTTTCAATGGTCAGGTCTCACAGCCACAAATAAGGACGGATCGGACTGCTGAGCAGCACACACACACACGCAAATTACAGCATGAATTAAATGTGAATTGTTAGTCTTATAGAGTAGTCCATTATTGAAACTGCTGTTTATGAACGTTAAGTTTAAAGGGGATAACGCAACATAATACAGATGTGGGTGTTCCGATCTACCAATTAAAGAACTAATATTGAAATGTACTTTCAATGTCCAGATCAAGTTCAATAACACGCTCTATATGTAACAACAGAAGACAAGGGCCAGGCAACAGATCGTTTTATTACGAAAATCAACGCGTATTTATATATATTTCACATACATTATTATAGCTTATGCAAGTAGACAAGTGCAGTCTTCTGATTGGTTGTTTATCAGGAGTTAAGCAGACAAACGCAGGCTTCTGATTGGTTGTTTCGGGATTCCTCGAAAAATAGAGTTCTCTATCTGCGAATCATATTTTGCCACGTTAAGTCTGCTGTGATTGGTTGTTGAATCAGCCTTGCTCATATTTTCTCACGGCCTGCTCTCCTCACCACACTCTATATACAAAGAGATGGAGTGGCAATGGCGTTGCTATTGCGTCCTTTACTTGCAGACTGCTATTTGCCAAGTCTGAAGAACAGTATGTTACAACTTATTGTCGGTAGTTTTCACATGTACCCAAGACACCAGGATGATACTTTTATCATATGTGACGAGAACACTAACATCGAAATGCTAACTAAGGTGTTCAACAACTGCCATCATGCTATTCAGTTCGCATCGGAATCCGAGGTGAACTCGGAATTCTATTTTTTGGATGTTTTGACAAAAAGTAGATCTGACGGTATTCTTCAAAGATCGATCTACAGGAAACCAACATGGAATGGTCAATACATGAATTTTCATAGTTGGATCCCTTTTAGAAGAAAGAGAAACCTGATCCATTCCTCATCTTCAAGGATAAGAAGGATATGTACCAGTGATGATACAATCGATGGTGAACTGGAGCAACTAAGACGAGTAAGTCCTCATAGAAAATGGATATCCTTTAAGATTCATCGAGAAAAACATGAAAGTAAAGGGAAAACCCGAAAGAACCCAGACGATGCCGAAGAAACCGCTATTTATGAAAGTTGAATGAATTTAAAGGTGATACCGTTGCTGAGATTCTGAAGAACCGCTTTCCTCGATAACAATCCTAGTTGACATAGGATTAGGTTGGAGAAGGGTTGATGGCAGTAAAAGCCACCCCTGTCATCAGTCCATGTAATCTCTAACAGCAGTAATTTTGGAGCCAGCCACATAGGGAAGTGAGCCTTCAAGATGACATGGTTCAAAGCCGGTCTCAATGTCGTAGATGTATTCAGTCTCTGTAATCTTTCAGATCATTAAATCCTCATGTTTCTTCGATCTTATTATTCTTACTCCAACAGGTTGTAAACTTTTATCAACAGCTGCCCACTTCGCTGGCTGGCTCCATACTGAAGATCAACAGGCCAGAAAGAATTAGTAACAAGAAACTCTGTAGTGGAACAAACCAACCAAGAGCCGATTGCTCAACAAATATGCAAGAGAAAATGGAGATGGATCAGGCAAAGGTTGAGGAGGCGCCATCGAATGACATCGCGCATCAGGCCCTCGAGTAGAATCTAAATGGGATACAACGAGTCGGTCTCCAAGGCGAGGGTGACATGAAGGAGATCGGGCGGCGAGGAGGAGATGCGAGGTTATAGTCCATCATGGGGTCAGACAGTTGAAGATGGAGACAAAAAATAGAACAAATTGGAGGCTATAATAATAAAAGTAATTCTTACTCCGTCGCATTTCTGCTGAATATAATAGTCCTTTCAGATCTCTTTTCTCTACCTTTGTGTGGTATATGGAGTCATAGGAACTTCAACTGATACAGTTTTGTGCAAGATTCTACGTCGAAACTCAGTCAGTCAGTCAGTCGGTGAGAACATCTGAGATTCCTCAGGACTACAGATAAGTCATTGATTATCCCGATATACAAGAAGGGAGACAAGTCTTTTTGTGATAATCACAGGGGGATTAGCTTGACTAATATGGAACCTAAAGTTCTAGGCTCAATAATAATCCACAGACTAGGCGATCCACGGAAGACACACACACACAAACACACGAGAACCAGGAAGACGGTGTATTGATTATATCTTTACCCTTCGACAAATTCTGAAACATAGGCATACTTACCGACGTGCAACAATCATTATATTTCTTGACGTAAATGTGGCATTCGATTCTGTCGACCAAGAGAAATGGCATAATAGGGTGAGCAATATTTTGACGTTAGGCAGCGGTCGAGTGCTAAGTAGGTAGGTGGGAGGAGAAATCAGTCGACGGGGCTATAAAGTTACACAGATTGAGATGGTTAGGACATGTGCTACACACGCCTAGTCATCGCCTTCCTTGACTGATGGTCAATGTTAGTTGAAATACGATGGATGAAGTTGGAAAAGAGTCAGTGGTGGTGAAAACAAAGCATGGGACCAGTCAATCAAATCCACAACAGTTATTTAAAGCCACGTAGGAAGATATAGACTTCCTCCCTGGTTGGGGTCCCGATGGTACGAATCAATAAAGGCTGGAGACAATTAGTGTGATATGGCTTGAAAATCATTCTCAATGACTGGCACAGATGCATCCACTCCTTGTGACTTATATTATCCGATAAAACTAAATGGTTCTTCGATAGTAATATTTCTTTTTGGCTTATATCTCTGTTTATTGTCTTTATTTTGCATTTCTTTTTTCCTTTCTTCTGCTTTTTTTTGACTTTGTGTGCTGAGTGAAGTTTGGCGACTTGAACTGCTCCCCATCGGTATAAATTTCTATGTTGAAAACAGACAGACAGCTAAACCGAAGCGAGTACTAAGCAAGTATACTACTTTCTTCCAATGCTTACTGAAGTGTCGGTTAGTCTTCTTTTTTTTGTGTTTATCATCGAAAATTCCAACAGATAATTATGAAACACATTCAGGAGGAAAACTTCGAAAAAAAATTATTAAAGAGAGAAAAAAAAACCGACTACTTACTGTATTTTTTTCTTCGTCAGTTGATGAAATATTATCTGTCATAGGCGATAAATGCGATGTAGACGACGAGGATGGTTCATTCATACGGGGAATTTTTTTCACCTGATTATTATATAAACATTTCACTGATTTTGGTATCTAAAATAAAAGCCAATAGAGAAAAGAGTAATTAAACGAAAAAAGAGTAATGCGGAGGGAGGATGAGCACAACACGCCTATCCAGATTAATTAGCATATACAATACTAACAATGGGTCAAATAATAATAATAACAAAATACAGTATAAAAGAAATAATTGAAAGCCATTCCCCCCATCCCGCCCAAAAAGCTCGACAGTGGATAGCTCATCATTCATTCGATAGAGTGAGTTATCTAAGTGGTAGATGGTGACTAGCAGTGGAATCCTGCAGGATAACGCGCATTTCGTCCTATTTGGGACTCGTCAGCTAACTGGATGTACCTGCATTCCCCAGTGACTCAGTGATGAAATTTCCACCGAGGCTTCGGCGTTTGGCACTATGAGCACTGGGTTCGAGCCTCGGTGGGAATTTCATCACTGAGTCACTGGGGAATGCAGGTACATCCAGTTAGCTGACGAGTCCCAAATAAGACGAAATGCGCGCTGTCCTGGATTCCACTGCTAGTCACCCACTATCCACAAATTTAATTCTAATTACATGCCCAGACATCATCGAAGCATCTGCACAAGAAGCCAACAAACATGTCAACCTGAGACCGAGCACTTCGGTCCAGTCCAATCAATCGACGGGAAAACCAAAAAAATTCAATTAATGAGTTATCATTTAAGATACATATGGCGGAGAGCTGTTATGTGTTTGCTGAACTGCCACTACCACATTATGATATCACATCTTTTTTGCTTCTTCGACGAATACACAACATTTGGTTGAGTGCCGCCAGTTATACAAACATTCAGGAGAGTAGATCTTGTGAACCAAAGACACAAGCCAGGAATAGCGGTTATCTCGTGAATTAGGATAAACTGCCTTTATGGATAAGATTTTATTTTGATAAATCACACAGTGTTGTACAGTTATATTAACTGATGACGTTTCGAACACAAACTATTGCTCATAATCATAATCAAGTTACTCACACAACTTTCTTTCTTCATTTATATACACGTGTGGAATCAATTAGATATTGGAATAAACCAGTCAGGATTCAGTAATCAATCTCTCTCACTCTCCACCTACCTATATTACTTTTTAGAATTTTAACACTATCTCACCCTATTGTGTGGTTGTTTGTTAATGTCTGAAGTGCAATAGCTGAGCTTTTCACTCTAAATTACTTATCTTTTCAGGGTCAATCATTCTTACCTTATCTAAATTCTTATGTTCTGATAATTTGACTACCCCCGACCTGCTATAGTTTGACCTATGTAGTTGACTTAACTCACAGTCATTGGAAGGTAATTTGTGAATGATATTATTTTGTCTAACTGGGTCAACCGACAGGGTCGTTTAACCTACAGAGCTTGTCCCTGAGTAAGTTTGTAAGTTTGAATGCCACCCTAATTCCTGCTTCATTAAGAATCCTACTTAGGGTCTCAGATGTTCCCTCCTTATATGATATAACAGTGGATTCTAAAAACCAATCTCTGTAGGTGGAGAGACGGATTGATTACTGTATCCTGTCTAGTTCATCGAGTCTGCACCCAACACAATATATGCAACAGAAATGATTCAATGCAAATACCAGAGATATGCATGGAAGATATTATTACCACCAGTCAGTCAGTCAAATCAGAGGAGGATAATAAATAATCTTAAATGGTATTCTATTTCAATTCAATTCACGTACATCACAACATTCTAACAAGTTACTTATTTATTTTGACTATAAAAGAAAACACTCGTCTTATTTCCCATCTGATTGTATTTGATGAGTAACACTCGTAATATTATTTCTGAATGTACATTATCTCACATTGATTTTTAATCCAATATCTAATCGATTCCCCACATGTATATAAATGAAGGAAAAAGTTGTGTGAGTGAGTAACTTGATATGATTATGAGCATCAATAGTTTGTGCTCGAAAGGCGGCCATCAGTTAATATAACTGTATAACAACACTGTGTGTGATTTATCAAAATAAAATCTTATCTATAATGGAGTTATACTCTACCACCACAGTGCCCAAGTTTTATACTTATATATCAAGGATAAACTGTCGCCCATCGACGACAAGGCTTCTTCTCCTTCTTCTTAAGTTTACTGGTAAACACTTGAGAACCAGTAGATTGTCAACTTTTTAAATACTAGCGCCAGGAATAAACAAGGTTTGATAGAGAAGATTTGTAGCTCAGGTGGATGATTTTGATGTGGTTTTGTTCTCTGAGCTGGATGGTTAGTAACCTAGAAGATGTGAAAACACACACAAACAACCAATCACATCCAAGGTCACCAGGAGAGATGATTAATAAACTCGTGGAGAAATCTAAAAGCTCACCTCAAATTGAAGTATGCGCTGAAGATGTCACCCAGTAAGGTGATGAAAGCTTCGCAAACTAACCATCCAGCTCAGAGAACAAAACCACATCAAAATAAATAAGGTTATACTATAAGAGGTTATATTTTACTAGATTTAAACAAAATGAATAAGAAGAATTACCGCGCAATATGAGTGTATACGGATGTAGGTTTTCGGTGGTTCAAGTTTTAAGCAAACCGCCAAAAAGTGTATTTTAAACAAGAACAAATGAAAGACAGTAGTGGATTGGCAAAAATATACACACATTAGTGTTATACAAAACAAAACAAAACAAAAGTAGGCTGAAAACATTTGTGGGTCGATGATAAAATGTGAATAGTAATCACGTGCTGAAATCTGATTGGTTAGTTGGTTGACTTACTGCCTGACTGACTCATCTGATTAGTGTTTAGTCATTTTCTTATCAATCTGTTGAACTCAAATTGTTTAGTTATCTGATTAACGTTCAAGAAATTAATATTTGTATAGCATAAAGTTTTGAATGACAGACTATCGACCTAGACTGTAGTTACGCGTCACAGAAGAATTTATGCATAAAAATGTTTAACGACTTATTCATAGGTAACAATTCGCAGTAATTTATACATATATTTAATTTAATTGGTGGATGATGGGTGACTAGCAGTGGAATCCTGCAGGATAACGCGCATTTCGTCCTATTTGGGACTCGTCAGCTAACTGGATGCACCTGCATTCCCCAGTGAGTTAGTGACGATGTTCCCACCGAGGCTCGAACCCAGTGCACATAGTTTCAAACACCAGGCACATCCAGATGACGAGTCCCAAATAGGACGAAATGGGCGCTGTCCTGGATTCCACTGCTAGTCACCCACCATCCACAAATTTAATTCTAATTACATGCCCAAACACCATCGAAGTATCTACACAAGCCAACAGATATGTTAACCTGAGATCGAGCACTTCGGACCAGTCCAATCAATCGACAGGAAAATCTAAAATTCAATTAAATAATTAATATGACCCGTTGCACAATAATGAGGTGGCTTTCGTGGCCCAAGGGGTCTAGTGGATAACGCTTTGACTGGTGTTTGAAACTAAGGGCACTGGGTTCGAGCCTTGGTGGGAACATCATCATTGACTCACTGGGTAATGCAGGTAAATCCAGATGACGAGTCCCAAATAGGATGAAATGCGCGTTATTAAAGTACCTCGAAAAAATTGACAATACACATACTCAAAAGAGGGTTATCTTATACAAAAAAAGAAACAGGCTTTGGATAACTTACAACAATTCTCATATGCCTATTAAAGCCTCGATTATTTCTTCGTTTAGCAGCCAGACGTCTATTTAATCGCCATATACGACGGTTATCAGATATCTGTCGTTTATCTTTACCATCATATAGTACAGTATCTAAAAGACTTGATATGGCTGTACTAGATAAATCCCTCCGCTTGACCTCGTCTTCTTTATCAGCCACTTCTTCTTGTTCTAACTCCTGTTGCATTTCATTTCTACACCTTTGTACAGTACGCATCAAGTCAGCAAGGATAACACTTTCTTCATCTGGTGTATACGTGAGTTCATATGGTGGGATGTGTTCAAGTATTTGTGTAATTTCATCAGGTTCCATAGATTTATTATTATTATTATTACTATTACTGCTAGTGTTACCATCAATATTCTTATATAATTTCGTCCATAATTTCATTCTTTCAGTTAAACTTATTGATCGAGCTAGATAACGCTCCGTTGTATGCTCTGTATGATTTGGACACATCCACCGATCAGAACGTGGTGGAAAATGTGACAATGGTGGATTCAAACACTCCAAATGAAACATGCATTACAATAATCACAAGGGAGTAAAGGCGCACAGAAACATGTCCTATAAACAAGCAAATAAACCAAAGAAAAATATATATATAAAATAATTAGTAAGCGGTAAAGAAGAAAAAAGAAAAGCTAGTGAATAATGTATCAATTATTCCAGTAGAATTAATTGATTGTCAGGTTGAATCACGATCTGGTTTCAATAAGAGAATCACTGAAAAATCATCACAGAGAGTACTGGAGAGCTGTTTCACCCCAGCCTAAGACTCTTCAACAGTACACAACTAAAACTCCAACCAGAGATCGACCTCAGAACTTTCAGGTTACAACGATTTGAACCCTCTGATCATTTAACCGTTGGTGTGGATGATGAACCACGGTATATATAGCGCCACAGTTAGCTATCATTGTCATCGTGGAGAATTGTTCCCAAGACTTAATTTGGCGGAACCTACTGATTATGACTTCTCTCGAGCAACATAATTCTGTCGTCAGTCAGCCACCAGTCGGCATTAGATTAATTTTTAAGTTACAGGATTTCATCATGAGCTGATATCGGTTAGAGAACCATTGGAAAACCACCAGGCAGGGAGTATGCCAGACAGCTGTTTCATTAGCCAAGTTTGAGACTAGCCCTACGCAGCCACCATCAAAGGGGTTCGAACCCAGGACATTCCGGTTACACGGCGACCATTAAACCACTGAGACCCGATTTAATGGCCAACCCATGAATTCCAAGTTCTGCCAATTCACAATATAGCGCAACCATTAGTTAATGTTATAGGCGGTGAGTATCTACCCTCACTGGTCACGACTACCATTAGAATCGACGAGCAATGTTAGCTGATACAGGGTCAGGCTGAAAAGAGCTAGCCAATGATGGACAAACAAAAACTTGGCACCAGTCAATGAAATCCACAACAGTTAGTCTAAGCCACCCACATAGGAAGGTGTAGACTTCCAGGCTGGGGTCCTCGGGACGGTAAAAACCAATGGTTGGAAACAATTGGTGACATGGCTCAAAATCATTCTCAATGATGGCTGGTGCAGATGCATCCACTCCTTGTGACTTATGATTTCCAATGAAACTACATTGTTCTTCGTTATTACTATTCCTTTGTCCCACACCTCTGTTTACTGTCTCTATTATGCATTTCTTGTACTTTCTCCTCTTGCTTTGTGTGAAACAAGGAGTGTGGCGACTTGAACTGCTGAATATCGGTGCAAAGTTCTACGTCGAAAACAGACAGAAGTGTTTTGAAGAACGTACGTCCTTTGATCGATAAGCAGATATCATGTCCACACCGGAGATAACGTGTGGACGACAGTAATGTAGATTCATTTATTTCACGTATGGTAAACATGACCAGACACACATTATTGAGCGGGAAAATTCAACTTGTTATCAAAAAATCAATTTTAAACAAATCGGATTTTTAGACAAAAACATAGCACATAACTTGCGCATATGTGCATCGGTGGTTCAGCAGTGGAATGCTTGGCAAGCACAAACGACATGGCCCCGAATTCCATCCCCGGTAGGACGCACTCCTAAACCTACCTCGCTTAGCCGGTGGTCAACTCAGTAACAAAGGAAACAAGGAAGGTTGGTTGGAATTTCAAAGCTCAAAGTTTTGAAGTCCTACACATTTCAGTTGCGGGGGGAGGGGAGGGTGGTGATGGACTCGGCTCAAAGGAAATAAAGACAGAAATGTAAACTTACTTAATACAAACATAACAACGTCTTATAGGGTCTGGCACCATACCGTTCTCCAGTTCAATAATACCCTTATTTTTCCGTTCCGTTAAAGTTTTATATGAACCTTTGAAACAAACACAAAAGACAAAAATAAACAAGAATGAAAAACAGGAAAAAACAAAAGAAGAATCTTCAAGTGTTGGTTTGTAGGGATTTGATTGGTTACAAGATTTCATCATGAGCTGACATTAGTTAGAGAACCTTTGGAAAACCTGCCAGGGAGTACTGGACAGTTTACTGTTTCGTCAGCCTAGTTTTGGACTCTCATCACTACTTACCCACCAGGATTCGAACCCATGACCTTCTGGTTACTAGGCGAGCTAGTTCGCAGACCATTAAGCCACTGAGATCCTATCCAATGGCCCATGAATTCTAACTTCTGCCAATTCACGACATAGCCCGAGCCCTATGTCTTCGGCGAGAATCTATTTCAGGAAAGATTTTACCACGAAACTAGAATAGTTCTCATTGATTCCCAACTAATTGCGAATAATCACATTTAACAATAGGTTGATTTGCACTTCCAGATGTGGCTCGTAGGTAGGTGGTATCTATCAGGAGGAGTTAACTTTCAATTTGTGAGTAGTCACGGGGTTCAAAACCTCTTCTACCTACCAAGGCCTCACCTTTGTTGGTCTTCGTAAAATAAGTGGGGGGGGGGGTAAAGGAGGAGTACTGCTCAGTGCAAAGACTATGCGTGAAAACCTTCTGCTAATTTGGGTTGCTAAGGGGTGCTTATCAATTCAATCCTAAAGGACAAAAGTGAAATACAACAGTGCTGTATAGACGCGAACAGGCGGCAAATATTCAGATTATGGAATTGATGGTAATTTCGATTGATTTAATTCTGAATTGTTACAGGTTAGACCACGAAGTGATATGAGTAAGAGAACCAATGAAAACCACAGGGAAGAACTGGACAGTTGTTTCGTCCTAGTTTTGGACTCGTCATCAGTGCGCACCTACTGCCAGATATCGAACCCAGACAAGTTCGTAGACCATTCAGCCACTGGGACCCACCAGACTCAATGGTCAGTTCATGAATTCTAACTTCTAACAATTCGTGATTTTAGCGTGACTACCAACCAGTGTCATCGGTGGGAAATCCATCCTCACTACGACCTGCTGTATCGGCACTGGTGACAACTTCCCATTAAAACTCCAGGCAACTTTGTCTTGTAGCCAGTCACTAGTGAGCATCAGATTAATTTTCAAAAAATTAATTTGTAGAGATTCTGTTTGTTTCAGGTTAGACCACAGGGTTGATATCAGTTATAGAACCATTGAAAACCAGGCCACAGGAAGTAATGGACATCTGTTTCGTCAGCCTAGTTCGGGACTCATCAACAGGTTTAGTCTCACGTACCAATATCAGTTGACAAAGAACTCGCGAATCATTGGATTCCGATGCAAGTGGCTGGAACGGTAAGATGGCCTGTTTGCAGCCTGGGGGAATATAATTTCTACTGTTCAGTTTGTTTTAATTTATTAAAATATGAGTATTTAAAGCGTCTCTAACCCGCTGATTCGTAAGTTTCTATTAAACCGGTAGGTGGAAACGTATCCCAATAATACATGGGATAACTGTCATCCCTGAGATTTCCAGTACAAAAGACAGCTCCTGGTCTGAGAGATAACACACTGATTACCTGCAGTCTTTCAATTACTCAGTTGTTATTATTATATGTCCTTGGGTCAAAAGATGTATTCCTCCACCTTTTTAATTGGCTTTCAACTAAATGTTGTGCATTTCTCGAAGGAGGTGGTGGGGGGCGGGCAGCAGAGAAGACACATATCATGCAGGATCGGCTTTCACTTCAGATCAGACAACAGTGTGCCATGCGATTTACAATCAGTTACTATATTATTACAAGATCCTGGACAAAGAGGAACTATTTATATGCAAAGATTTCCCTTAAAAATTCTACATTATATAAACACTGCTTGGAATAAAGCTATTATTAGTTTGGTCAAAGAGCTCGATTTCGTAAACTGAAGTTTCTGGGTTCCATCGCTGACAGGGTTGTGGGAGTGCACTGTTGAAGAGTCTAAAAGAAACGGCGAAACAGCAATCCAGTGCTTTATGGTTTTCAACGACCTCTCTGACTGTCTGTCTGTCTGGATTCAACATAGAACTTGGCACCGAAGTGCAGCAGTTCGAGTTGCCACGTTCCAAATAGCACACAGAGGTAGACAAGAAGATGAGTGAAGAGAATCAATAGAGTTTGACAAGTATAAGAGTGAAACAGAATGGGTAATGGTAGAAAGGAATATGAAAGATTACAGAGACTGAATACATCTGCGCTGGCCATTGACAACGATTTTGAGCCATGTCACCTATTGTCTCCAGCCATTGATTCCTAGAGTCCCGAGGGCCCCAACCCGGGAGTCTGCATCTCCCTACCTGACTCAGTTTAACTGTCAAGGATTTCATGGATTGATGAGGCCATGTTTTTGTTTGGCCACCACTGGCTCTTTTCCAACCTGAACCTATATCAGCTAGCAATGCCCGTCGGGGGAGGCGGTGGTTAGGCATGCGCAGCACGTGACCTAGCCATCTTAGTCTATGTAACTTTATAGCCTCGTCGATTGATTTTCCCTCTTTGCCCAACACTCTACGCCTAACGTCAACATTACTTACCTTGTGAAACCACCTAACGTGAGACAGAGATCGCAGACATCTATGATCGAAAGCAGTCAACCTTTTCATGTCTTCAACGCGTATTGGCCATGTTTCAGAGCCATAGAGAAGGACGGAGCGAACTGATGAGCAGTACACACGTCCCTTGGTTGATAACCGGATGTCACGCCTACGCCAGAGATGGTGTAAGTCAGCGAAAGCAGCTCGAGCTTTTCGGATCCGTGCTGAGATTTCATCGCCAATCAGTCCGTTGGTGCTAATACAACTTCCCAAATAGGTGAAGTGGTCAACATGTTCTATCACTTCACTCCCTATCACTAAGTTAGGGGTTGACGTGGTCCAGTCCTGTAGCAGCATCTTACATTTTGCAGGGGCGAATCGCATGCCAAACATACGAAGATTGCTGCTCAAGGTGTTCAGAAGACTCTGCATTTTGTCAGCATCCTCCCCTAACAGGACTATGTCATCTGCATATTCTAAGTCCATAAGATTATTCCCTGGTAACAAGTCGATTCCTAAGTCATTACGTTCAGTTAAGGATACTTCCATTAGCATATCTATGATGAAGTTAAACAGAAATGGGGAAAGTGGACATCCCTGTCGGACACCACTGGTTGTTACCAATTCAGATGACAATTCCCCATAAGCCCTTACACGACTACGTGAGTTTGAATAGAGTGCCTTGATTAGTGCAATGTACTTTCTTGGCACTCCCTTCACAGTCAGACATTGCCATAGTACCTTTCGATCCACGGAGTCGAAGGCCGCCTTCAAGTCAAGAAATATGACAATTGTTGGACGCCGAAAAGTGTGTCTATGTTCTAGAATCTGTCGAAGAGTGAAGATATGATCTATGCACCCTCTACCTGGTCTAAAGCCTGCTTGATTTTCCCTTGTCTGTTCCTCCCGAGTTCTGCTTAGTCTATGCATGATTACTGAGCCTAGGATTTTAGAGACTATGTTCGTTAGGCTGATCCCCCTATGATTATCACACGAGGACTTGTTTCCCTTCTTGAATATCGGTATAATAAGTGACTTACCCCAGTCTGATGGCACTGTCTCTGATTCCCAGACTTTGCCTAGTACCTCAGTTAATCTACAAACTAGTATGTCACCCCCATATTTAAACACCTCCGGAATAATTCCGTCGGGTCCTGCCGCTTTGCCTCGTTTCAAATTACTGATAGCTTTTGTAACCTCACTTACAGACGGCGGACCAGTGTCTATATCCCATTCGGGTGTGTGTGGATGCGGGGAGGTTCAGTGTGGCTGTAGGCAAGTTAAATTGTTCCTCAAAGTGTTCTTTCCAGCGTTCAAGGCGTCTATCCTGAGAGCTAATTAAGGAGCCATTTTTCTCAGAAATAGTCTCACTTATGAATTGCCTTCTCCCCCCGATTCTGTGATGAGTCTAAAGAGTTGCCTAGTGTTGCCTATCGCCAATGCTTTTTCCATCTCTTTGCCTTTGTCACCCACCACTGTTCACGGTCCTTGCGGAGACTTTTAGTAAGTTTCCTTTTGTGCAGCTTTCGCTCCTCATTGAATTCGGAGCTCGCCGGAATAAGTCTTCTAGCATCTATCAGTTCGGATGAGGCAGTCGAAATCCAGTGGTTTTTACTCACCTTTGGATTTGCCTTATTCACAGCTTTTACAGCTGTATCTATAGCTGACTGAATATTCTTCCAGGCTTCTCCAGGGTGAGCACAGCTGTCGAATTCAGATATGCGTTTAGCTAGTTCTTCCTCAAATAGGGATTTAGTTTCCTGATCGAGCTGGGGACGTGATGGTTTTACCGCCAGCTGTTTCCTACGTCCGTTCAGTCGTAAGCACACACGAGCCCGGACCAGTGCGTGATCGGTATCTACACACGTGTTCCAGAAGGAGCGACAATCTCCTACCGACTAATGTTGGTACGTTAACAATCGAGATACTATTTACACAAGAGAGTTTATTTTGCCCCATTCCGCATATAAGGCTTACAATGTCACTGAGAATTAAAACGACTGAAAAGTATACAACAACGTGCTAGAATCACAAGAGACTAAGTGGAAACAAACGTGTTTAATCACTATTAACATTATTATACATGGGTGATTAAATCTCGGTGGTTAGACAGTATTACGCACTAGTGAAAGATTAATCGACCACTTATTAGGGCTATTTTAATTGGACACTAGTAACTAGTGCGACGTGTCTAGTCCTCCTTTCTTTGGTGCAGACTGAATTCTATCAGTCAGATTGTCATGTGGCCACCATGCCACTAGGTAGCTCGCCATCACGGTGCACATTGATTTGATGATATTAGATAGTTGGAGGCAATCGGCCACAGGAAGCCTTAACCGGCCCAGGTTTCGTGTTTGTCGGCACTCGTCAGCAAGGTGTATCTGCAACCTTGAAGGAACTCATGTCACTATTTACCAATAACCTGTTTACACCTTCATATTTTTAACTTTAATTTTTGATTACAGCTTGATTCCACACTGTATTTTTGGTACAAGTATGGAATTTTCAGCGTGAATATCGGTAGCCAAATTTCGCAGGCGGACCATAGATATCAAGTGTGCGTCGGCGTTTTATTCGTGACAAACTACGGACACTGGTAATATGGCCTACATGAAACACGTTTGAAACCTTCAGGATGATATTTAATTCAATTTTAGATTTTCCTGTTGATTGATTGGAGACCGAAGTGCTCGGTCTCAGGTTGACATGTTGGCTTTTTGTGCAGATGCTTTAACGATGTCTGGACATGTAATTAGAAGTTAATTAGTGGATGGTGGGTCGGTGACTAGCAGTGGAATCCAAGATGCGCTTTTGACGTTTGAAACTATGGGCACTATGGGTTCGAGCCTCGGTGAGAACATTATGACTCACTGCGGAATGAAGGTACATCAAGCTGACGAGTCCCAAATAGCGCGGATCCTGGGTTCCACTGCTAGTCACCATCCACCTTAGGACGATAGTTTGGAAACTCTCAACCACAGCAGAAAAATTAACAATGGACTTCATAGTTGGTGGTTAAGCAGTGTTCACACAGGAAGTAGTCATTGAGTACGGTAGGACATCTAGTATGTTTAGCTTAAATCTGTAACTTCTAACAGATGCATATTTTATAGTATTATGACTTATATTTTGCACAAAATTTATTGTTGCTAGTCATAACAGATGTGACATTCAGTATAATGTCTATTGAGTAATTTATACTGTTACACTATGTTTGAACACAGAGTTAGGATATCATGTATAGAATGCAAGATAAGATATTTGCAAAACTTTTCCAGCCCCTTCCTCTTTTTAAAATCAACTTCTTATGAGTTTATACATGTGGGTAAATAGTTGTGTTTTATTCGACTACACATAAAAAGTTATAAATACTCAAACAAAGCCGCAAACGAACACTTGACAATACTCGCCGAAGACATTGGCTAGTGTGCCAGTCGCGCTATGTCGTAAATTGACAGAAGTTAGAATTCATGGACTGACCGTGGGATCTGGTCCCAGTGGCTTTAATGGTGTACGAGCTCGCTAGCCTTGTGACCAGAATGTCGTGGGTTCGAAACCCTGTAGCGGTGGGTACATACTGCTGAAGAGACCCGAACTAGTCTGACAATACAGCTGTCCAGTACTCCCTGACAAGTTTTCCAATGGTTCTCTAACCAATGTCAGCTCATGATGAAATCCTGTAACCAATCAATCAAATCCCTACAAACCGATAACTGAAAATTATTGTAGTTCTAACTAGTGACTGACTAACTGATTATAGGATGGAGGTGTCTGGAGCTCTAATGAGAAGTCGTGACCACCAGGGGTCCCGTGAAGTCAAAAGTAAGCGAAAATACTCGCTAATGACGTTGGCAATTGACCGTGGGGCTGTGTGGTAAATAGGTAGAAATGAGAATACATAGCCCAACTATTGCATTGCATCCGAATGGCTGAATGGTTGGCGGACTCGTTTAGTAGCCTAAAAGTCCTGTGTTAGGGATCCTCGATGGAGAGTACGCCAAAACAGCTGTCTATTAATCCATGGTTGTTTTTAATGTTTCCCTAACTGATGTCAATCCGTTATTTAACTTGAATGTTATGACAGCTGGAAAATAAATGACATGCGTTGTAACTCAGCGATAATTTTAAAAAATAAACATAAGTTAATAAAAGTAACTGCATGGTGAAAAACGCAACAGTGGGCCCTTCCAGTTACGAGACGATGGTCATTGACCATTCAGCGACTTCGGCTAGAGTTCTATGACCAATGAATTTTAAAACTGTCACCTCGACATATAGAGTTGCCCTCACCAGTGGACCCTTCGATAAGGGTCCACTTAACCTTGACATGATGGACTCCACTGGTCAAGACTCCTTACTAAAGCTTTAGGATATCCGATCAGTAGCCATCAATGGTCTCGTAACCTAAAGATCCCAGGTTCAAGATGTGGGGTCTAGGGTGCGCACTAATGAAGATCCTCAGAGTGGAACGAAACAGCTGTCCACAGTACTCTCTAACTGATGCCGGTTCGTGAAGAAATCTAACATGTGAAATAATTATTTTTGTAAAGTTTCCTGGCCAAATGTCTTAATATTTCGCTTTTTAATGCTGTGTGAGCTATAATATTTAGGACTGTAACTCTCTAGTATACTACGATTCTAATCTATAACTCTGCTTTAAAAGTTCAACTATTGAACTACCCTAATTTGTTTAAATGAATTTTTGATTTTCCCGTTGTTTGATTGGACCCAAATGTTGTTTGGAGGGAGCATGAAAAATTCTCTTAAGTAAATAACAACTGATGCGTCTATCGTGCACTAGAGGGGCTACTCTCGGTGGGTATTGGTTTCGAGTCTCAGTGAGGACATCATCATCATTCACTAGGGGGCTTGCAGGTACATTCAGATGACGAGTCCCAAGCAGGATGAAATGCACGCCTTAGATTCCACAGCTAGTCACCACCACCATACATCAAATCAAATTACTTTAAACACAAACTCACCAGGAAGTTTTACACTAGGCATTAAATCTTTTGGCAATTCAAATTCTTTTGGATTTTGATATTGAGCATACTCGATCACTTCCCATAATGATCTTAATTCAGATTCTTCAATATCAGCAACATAAGCTGAATCACCCCATGTCCTAGATCGACTAGATCTACCACCACCAACAACCGGGTTATTTTGTTCACTTCCAGCTGAACGAAATGCATAATGACGTTTACTTTTTTGAGATTGTAGAAATTGTTGTAATGAACCTTGTGTATGAAGAGAATGGCTACTATTAATAGTAGTACTATGACTACTCGCGTTGCTGGTATTATTACTGACGACAGATGTAACAGTTGAATTGGATTGTACACCGACAACAGTGACGACTGTTGTTGTTGTTGTTGAAGCTGTTGAAGATGATATTGAAGATGATGAGGATGAAGATGCAGACGAAGATGGATGATTTTTTTGGCGTTTCTTACCACCTCTACCACCAGAACGTGAGGAGGAACCTGTTTCAGTAGCAATAGTTGTTTGACTACTTGATGTTGAAGCTTTATCTTCTTCATCCTTTTGAGTATAACATAAATTTTTTAATATAGAAAAAAAAATCCCCATTTAGACATTTAGAAAACAGAAAGATTGAGCAGTGAAGAAATATTTACTTTTGTCAATTAGATCCTCCCCTTATCTCACTCTGGCTCTACTCTAATATACACGTATACAGCATTTTTATTATTACAATGCACAACAATTCACCAATCATCAAGTGGCACTGATATGTTTGTTAACAATAACTAAACAGTGTCAAAATGTCAATGGGTTAATAATTAACGCAGAAAAATTTCAGTTGGTGCGGTAAGCGATTCAAACCCGATAATCAATCGTCTCCTGTCTATTCAATCGTGCTAGCAAATATAACCGTTGGCAGCTTCTTAAATTGTGTGTAATAGCTGAAAGACTCTTATATAAAAATCACTTTCCTAAGTCAATTTATTAAGACTTGAGACCAAAACTAGAATTACTAACCGTCTTTATACTGTTCTTCTATTTTCCCGCCTTTTATGATCGATCGATCGATCAACCAATCAATAAAATCGTTTAAATAATTAGCCAGTTTTAAAACTTGTAAACTGAATAGTTTTGTTTTTGATACAGGGATTCTCCTTCTGAAATAGTCCTGGTTTTGGCAAACTGTTTAAAATTTAATAGGTGACAACTGAAGGTGAAAGGATTCAGATTGAACAGGAGAAGACCCAGTTTGACAGCTTAGTGTCAATTATTCACACATAACAGCTGGCTATCACTTGAGAGAGAGAGAGTGAGTGACATAATAGTCTGGTTACCAAGCAATTAGGTCTCATAGCTTAGTCGGTCTAATAGTTCGTAAGTTGTTCTCGGTGAATTCATATTTCAAGCAAAAAAGATAGTGAGAAAAGTGATGAGTTGTCATAATCATATTTCAATATAGAAAAAAAAATCCCCATTTAGACATTTAGAAAACAGAAAGATTGAACAGCGAAGAAATATTTACTTTTGTCAATTAGATCCTCCCTTATCTCACTCTGGCTCTACTCTAATATACACGTACAGCATTTTTATTATTACAATGCACAACAATTTACCAATCAAGTGGCACCGATATGCTTGTTAACAATAATTAAACAATTAATTAATTAAATAATTAAACACTAGTTACTGGTGTCAAATCAAAATATCCACTACAGTCCTACAGGAGGTCAATCGCGGGCCCGAATAGCTCAGTGGTAACGTCTCTGACTGCAGGCAGCACTGGGTGACACGGGTTCGAATATCAGAAGGGACATGAATTCCTTCAAGGTGGTTGTAGATACGCCTTGCTGACTGGTGAGTGCCAACTAGCACGAAACCTAGGTCAAGCAAGGCTTCCTGTGGCCGATTGCCTCCAACCATCTAATACCATCGAATAATTAAACAGTGTCAAAATGTTAATGGGTTAATAATTAACAAAGAAAATCAGCACACATTTAAAAGGTAGAAATGGATAGAATAAATTATATTTACAAGGATAACACGTAAATTAAAGATGAAGTGGTCAAAATAAATAATTTAGACAATTATAATTTTTTATAGGTTTAGGGGGAGGGGGGCGACGTAGTCCCGTTTATGCATTCTTGTGACGGTGATGGCCACAGTAGGGAAAGTGGCTGTACAAATTTTTTCTGTACACATAGACTTGGCTTTTCTTCAGGTGAATTCCGATTGCTTCAGCTGTTGTCTGTAGAAGACGAACTCGCAGAGCAAAATTAATTAAGATAAGTCGGAATGCGATAAATATAATTTTAAATGCTGTATTCATATCAATCTTATGCTCAGTATCAATAAGGTGGGCTAAAATAAAGCTACCTACGAATAGATCTTTTTTTGTCCCTTGCTTAACCATGTTGGATGATGTTCGGAAATACGACGATGAATTTGCCTAATTGTACGCCCAATGTAGCAGCTGGCTTCGCAGCTGCAATTAAACTGGTAGATACACATAGAGGAGGCGAAAGTCTTAAATCAACTCTAGTCGACTGTTGTTATAAATATATAAATATTAAACGAAAACTAAATAGCTTATTGACCAAGAAACACAGGGAAGCCCTAGAGAAGCTGCAAAATAATGAAAATATAATAATTTCGAAACCTGATAAAGGCTTTGGGGTAGTCATAATGAATAAAACTAAATACATAGATAAGATGACTGGAATACTACTCAGTGATCATTGAAAATTTCAAAAAATTACATCTTCCGTCGATCCGACAGAAAAAGTGGAGAAACAACTAATTGAGTCACTAAAAAGACTTAAACAACAAAGTAGCATCATAGACGGTTTATATGAATCTTTAAAGCCTACTGGCACGGTGACACCAAGATTATATGGACTAGCAAAAGTGCACAAAATCGATTTGCCACTTCGACCAGTGTTGGACATGTGTAAATTCCCCATATCACGCAACAGCAAACTGGCTAGTGAAGCTCCTAAAGCCTCTGCATAATGAAGCGGTAAAACATAGCGTAAACGGTAGTTTTGAATTTGTTGAAAAAATAAGAGATCTTAGTGTGAGGGACAAGTTTATGATATCTTTTGACGTATCCTCCTTGTTCACCATTGTACCGTTAATGGAGACAGTGGATTTTAAATGTGAGGAGATTACTACACGAAACATAGATATCGGGATTTCTGTATCCACCTTGAAGGAACTTATTTTAAGATGTACAATGAATGTTCATTTCTTATTCAATAAGGAATATTACAGGCAAATTGATGGTGTACCTATCGGTTCCCCATTAGGTCCAATCCCTAGCTGACGTAATTTGTCTGAATCGTGTGATGTACATATTTGCGCAACACACAGGACAGTATCTTAATTACCACAGTTTCTGCCCTGTTTGGTACAAAAGAGCCTTAGTAAGTTGTCTCTTCAGTAGACTCCAACGAATATGCACTGAAGACAGACACACTTGATGAAGAAGAAATAAAGTTGACACAAACTCTGGTTGATAACAATTATCCAGGCAAGTTCATCAGGAGATATAAAGTAGTTAGAACACCAACTCGCCCCTAAGAAAGACGTATGTACATCAAGCTACCCTATATATATGGGCATCATAGCAGCTTGATAACTAGACAAAGATTGAACGCTGCTGCTGTTAAAAAGACTTTTTATGCAGCTAATGTCATAATAATTGAGAATGTGAAGCCAATATATCCATCCATCTAAGCCTTTTGAACATGAGAAAAGTGATGCTACATCCCACTATATTTACCAATTTGAATGTACGTGTGAGAACACATACATAGGAGGCAGGACTCATTGATCTCTGCAAGTAAGGGCTGACTTCAGAGCGTATTCTTAAATGGCTCTAGAAACAAATAGAATCTTCAGAGCCTATTAATGGTGAGAACAAAAAACCTAGCTCCTCTTTTTGCGAAACATATTACAGAAGAGACAGGACATAAAATTGACGTTAACACATCTTTTAAACCTATCTATAAAACGTGTTTGGAGGAGGGTGTATCCTAAAGTTTGTGGAAGCCCTATATGGCAATTAAAATGTTTAAACCACCCTTATGCGTTCGAAGCAACAATTTGTCATCACATTAAACCTTCTTTGGTAAACTTTGTTTTGATACCAGCCATGTGATGTGTACTGTTACCTCTGTTATTTCGTTTAGTGATTGATCTTCATTGTTATTTTCACCTTCAATATGTCCTTTTTAACTTGACCTAACTTGTCTATTTTCTCACCTCTTAACCCTTTATTAATTTATTTATTTTGGTTACAGCTTGATTCCACACCGCATTTTTGGTACAAGTATTAAAATTTTCAGCATGTGATATCCGTAGCCCAAATTTTGCAGGTCGACCATAGATATCAGGTGTGCGTCGACAGGGGCAGGGGGTCGAACCCGGACCATGTGCATGGTCGACGAGAGTCCTAACCGCTGTGCCACCGACGCACATAAATATTCGTATGACAAGTCCGTGGAGTGCGATTATATTGTTCGAAATGTGTTGCTCAAGTACACAATAAACGATTCAGACAAATTACGTCTCCATATTGCTTTGTCTAAATTCATAAAGGGAACTAACCGTTTTAAATAAATTTAACTGATAAGAATATAAAACTAATAAACAATAAGATCAACTAAGATCAAACTTTAGTCGGAAGGGATTTTATCGATTACAGGTTTAGTTAATAATAATAATAATCTGCTTTATTCCAAAAACAGTACTCATAATACAGAATGGAATTCTCATCATTTGCCACAATATTCCATCTGATTTACTCAAAATATAAACAAAATTAAAAATTAGAACAAAAGTTACCAGAGGAATTTTTTCACGCTTACGATATAAAGTCAAAAATATTCGAAGTACGAGTTGAGAATATTAAATATAATAATAATAACAGTGAGTTTGTTTCAAACAGTATTGGCGATTCAGTATGGAAATTTTAGCATGTTATAGATTATTGAATCTAATGTTCTGTTGATATAGCAGCATGGTGAGGGGAAATACAAAATCAACAGTTACATAACACAGCTTAAATGATATTCACACTTATGAAAAAAATAAACAAATAAAAACAAAAAATTAAGAGGATTATAAATATAAGAAGTACAATAACAATAAAGTTTGATACTGTAAGGGTGCAGGAAATGGTTTATTTAGTAGTGCAAAGATGGTTAGTTAGTTGGTTCGTGCCTGACACTATTTTCACCATATAAATTACGTACCAAATATGGTATAGTGGAATTTTTATACTTAGACATACGTGCATAAAGTCTTCTGAAAAGACGCCTTGTTTCACCTGAAGAGATGCGAGATTGTAGCTGCGGGTGTTGTGGTGGATGCTCACAGTCTGACAAAATTCCTTTAGCAAATTTGCTGCATGACATCAAGTGCCTACCAATGACAATGTCAACGATATGGCCCGATTGGATACCACCAGTCGCCCTACTTACAGTCAGTCTTCAGAGTTCTACGAAGTATGACATGGTCTTTTTTAAGCAATCCAGGAAAGGTTAAGCAAGGGTGAA